TCCCGGCTGCCTGCCCGCCGACTGGCTGCACGCCGGCGCTCCTCCCCGCTGCGCCTCGGTTTTCTTCTCGGTGAGAGGGCGGTGGGTGTAATGAAGTCATTTAGTCACTCGGGCAGCATTTCCTAAGGCTTCCTCGGGGCCCGTCCTGTGTGGGTACTCGGGACAAAGGGCGAGTCAGCACGCGTCCCTGCCCTGGAGGAGCTCGCGGTCCCACGGGGAGACGGCCGGCAGCCCAGGTGGCCGCGACCCGGGTGGCAGGAGGCACCTGCAGCCTGCGCGGGCGTGACTCACAGCCTGCCGGTGGAGGTCGGGCCCTGTGGAGGGCTTCCTCTCCCCCTCTCCCCCTCTCCCCTTCTCCTCGCGCCTTTCTCAGGCTGCACCTGTGCCCTATAGCAAATTAAAGAATAATAATTCATCTCATTAAATAAATAAATGCTTAAAAACCATTCTAGGGAGGAGGTGGTGCCCAAGCAGACACTGGAGGGACAAGTTGCTGCCAGGAAGATGGCAGGAAAAGCATGCTAAGAGGAGGGAAGAGCCAGGTGGGGGCCCAGAGGCCAGAGGACGACGCCAGGCTTAGAGCCGCAGTGAGAGGAGGCCCGGCACGCTGCAGCTGCATTGGCCCGGGGTGGTTCTGGTTTTGGTTTCTGGTGTTTTTTTTTTTTTTTAAGGTTCTTTCTTTCCTTTTCTCTCTTTATTTCTTCCTTCCTTCCTTTCATGAGGGAGAGAGAGAGGCACCCCAACAGGACCCTGGTGCTCTGACTTGCCGGCCCAGACCACAGACACGCACACACGTACACTGTGCTCGGGGGTCCCGGGACACGACCCAGAACCCTCCGCACGTGGGGTCAGTGCGTTCCTGCTGCACCCCGGCTCCACCCAGAACCAGGGGCCAGAACCAGGTGCGCTCCGACAGAGAGGTGCTGGCCTACCGGGCACTTCGCGGGCCAGACCTGCATATGCCCAAGAAATAAGGAGGTTAACGGGTCCTGTACACTTTTCTTGTTTTCATTTTTAAAGAAGTATATATTTATTTTTATTTATTGTTATTATTATCATTTTAATTTGCTCTAGGATATATGCACGTACCAGAAAGGGAGAGAGAGAGAAAATGTGAGCAAGCAAGCCACCAGGTCCGGGACCCAAACCGTGGTCGGCCCTGTGGGAGTCCCGCGCCTCAACCGCCACGCTGCCTGCCGGCCCCTGTATTGATATTAGGCTTATTTCTTCTGTGAGCGCGTAAGACAGAGAGAGAGCAAAACAGAAAGGCAGCACCTTAACGGGGTCTTGGCGCCGCGATCCACGCCCCAGGTCGGGGGCGTGTTCACCCCCAGCATACTCAGTGTGGCCTCCAGACATGAACGCCGGACCTTCCTGTGTGGGTCAGCCTGCACCACTGTCTGGTCCTCTAGAATGATTTTTTTAAGTATTTATTTAATGAAATTAATTATTATTATTTAATTTGCTATAGGGCATAGGTGCAATCAGAGAAAGACACACAGAGAGAGAGAGAGAGAGGGAAAGTGAGAAAGCAAGCCTCCAGGTCTGGGACTGGAGCCATCGTGGGCCATGTGGGACCCAGCACCTTAACCACCATGCCACCTGCCGGCCCTAGAATGGTCTTTTGATATACCCATGTATTAGTGGTGGATTGGCTAAAGTGAGCTACCGTTATTTATGGACTGATTGAATGGTCAGGACACTTAAACTCTTCCACTTCAAAACACTGTGCGCCCCGGGTTCCCACCCTGCGGCCAGCGCTGTCTGGACAGGAAGGTGCTCAAGAACCAGGCTGAGGGGCCGGCTTTGTCCCAAGGGGGGTCGGGACAGAGGCAGAGCAGTGGGAGGAGAGGGTGCACGGGAGGGGGCCTGAGGCCAAGGTCTGTGTTAGCTGGGACCAGGGACACAGGCCGTCCGGGTCAGTGGGCAGGGAGAGGCCTGACTGGCGTCTGGGAGGATGGCGTCTCAAGAAGCAGCTGAGGCCAGTGAGGACGGCATGACGGGCCCGGGTGCGGGAGGGGCGGCTACAGCGAGTACGCAGGGACTTCGCAGGACCCACTGGAAAACGAGATTAAAGTAAGCGTTTATTTTGGTGCAAAGAACCTTGCAGCATGGTGTCTTGTCTCTGCGCGCCCCGACCCCTGGCCCTCCTCCCCAGGGCAGAGGTGGAGTAACCCAAGTGGCAATTAGATTTACGGCAGGCAGGCAGGAAAAGGCTTCACGGCAGGCCAGGCCAGGCCCGCGCCGAGGCGAGGCGGACCTTCTTCCTGAGTGTTGTCCTTATTACTCAAAGACTTCCCTGCAAGTCCTGTCTTCCTTCTCACGCCCTGCGCCCTGCGACTTCCGGTGCCCCCCAGGCCCTCAGTGCTTCCCTGCCCCACCGCACGCGCCCTCGCCTCCACCCAGCCTCCACTGCCTTTGCCCCAGGCCTGCATTTGCATCCTTCCAGCCCCCTCCCTACAGCTTCCCGACCCCTCTGCAGCCCCCTGGCACCCCCACTTCTCATCGTAATCACCCCATCTCTCTCTCCATTCC